ATTCTGTAATTCTGTGAAACTGAGGGCAGGTGTCCCACTGTGATTAATCAAGTTTGTTAAAGATAATCTTGTTAAAGCTGACCACTGTTTTTTTTAGCCCAAATTTCTTAAAAGCCTGAGTAATATCTTTGAATGGAAAAAAATAAGCATTGAGAATTGAAAATTGGTAAATCCCTCAATATTCAAGGCTCAGATTGGACACTTTCTCTTTAGAAGCTTATTTGTAGGCTTTTCTAAGTGCAAATAAGTAAAAAATATGCAAATACATACACGAGGTAATTAATTCAGCAATCATACTGATAAAAGATCAGGTGAACTAGCAGATCTTTTGGACTGACTGTTGGTCAATTAGTCTCTTCCATGTAGTCAAGCTGAAATACATTATTCTATTTGCTTAAGTGGACAAGAGAGAGAGAAAAAAGTCTATATTGCTCTTTGCTGGAGAAAACTAAATTTATCAAAAAGTTTCCACTTTTGTTTTATAACTTTATGAAATAGATAATTATTTCTGAGATTTTTGCCTGACCTCTCCATACTTTCAAATCTGTGTATGTTGGATGTTGGCTTGTAAGCCTCCTACTTGTACTGAATTTTGTTTATAAATGACTCCATATTTTTATAGAATACAATCACAGAAATTACTACTTATGAAATGCATATTGAGAAACAGAAATATTTTGGAAAATAAAGAGAAAGTCTGTAGGTGACGTATGAGCTGAGTTTTTGGTCTGATGAAATTCTATTGTATATATAAGGAACAATTCTGTCTCCCTGTACAAAAAGAGTTCTACATCCCTAAAATAAATTACCTTTGAGATTGAATGAAAAGGAGAGCATTTTTGTGAGTGTTTATGGTTTTAACCAAGAAAAATGGGTCATGGGAGTTATTTTTCTATCATACAAAAATCGATATTTTAATTCAGAATTATTACAACGAGAATAAGCTTTATTTTTCTCTGTCATCTTACAGTGTAGCTCAAAATTTTGATAGCTGTGAATCAGGGACTTGATGTTATTATTTCAAAGGCGAGATCTAGACCACAAAGTAAAAGATAAGAAATAAAGGAAGAAAAGACATGAGATAGGTAGAAGCTGGAGAGAAGCAGAAAATGTACTTTGATTAACTGAAAGGTTAAGTAATGAAAGACTTCCTCTGCACATCATACTGTTAATTAGAAAGTCTGAGCAATGTGTGATTTCATTTAACGCTGTGCAAAAGGCCAACATGACATGATAAACTGCTTGATTCTTTATGTGTTTGTGAAACATATGACTTGGTGTTTCATTTTATTCTGGAGTAAAAGTAAGCTCCTTTTCTTTTTTCCTTTCTTCTTTTCTTTTTCTTTTTTTTTTCCTTTTTTTTTTTTTTTTTTTTTTTTTTTTTTTTTTTTTTTTTTTTTTTTTTTTTTTTTTTTTTTTTTTTTTTTTTTTAGACAAAATAAAAGGGTAAAAAATGAGAGTTTGGTTAATAAATGAGATTTTGGTAGAGATGAGACCAATTAGATACCATGGGCTAGTGTTCTCACTCACCACTACCACCTTAGCTCTGATCTGTGAAGCACACTGGGCACAAGACAGAACTGTGCTGTATAATAGGGTTTCTGGAATATTTTGGTGTCTTCTACAAAACAGTAAGTCCCCTTGAAACTTACATTTCTTTTCCAGTGTTTTGAGAAAAGTGGTGTTCTCATAAGAATGAAAAGTAAAATGTTGAAAGTGTTCTACAACAATTGGGCTTCCAGTAGAATGACAGACTTTCCTGCTTATGTCTGACCAGAAACTCCTCACTCCTCATAACTCTTGGAAACACTTTCAGCAAACTATCACATGGGAAGTGTGTGTCAACAAGAATGTGTGTGGAGCCTAGAAACCACATCAACTTTAGAACCTCCTGGGTGTACCGCAGAGACTGAAGGACTGTCAAATTTGTGATTTACAAGGAGCTACAGAAATGGACAGAAAAGACACAGTATCAGATAGTGAGTTTGATGGAGTGTGGGGCTGAAAGATCATGAGATTTGAGTCCTCATTGTTGGTGGAAGTTTAAATTTAACAGGGAATTTTGATGGTAAATATTTTGATAGAATAATCAAGAAGACAGACTGGAATTACCAAAGTATTATCAGGTCTGGACAAGACTTAAAACCAAGAATTAAGTCCTGTGTCACTGTCCCCCCCATTTTTAACTTCGAAGCAGTAACGTTGAAGCTCGCTGACAGAGCAGAAAGAGCAATGTATTCAATGATTAGGAAAGAATTAATCCTTTGGTTTAGTCATCCAAAAATTATTCATGGAATCTATGCTGTTTGCAGAGGTACTCACGATAAAGTAATTAAATTTATGCTAAGATAGCTGTTTAAGAAATGTGCTCTGAATAGCCAGACTGTGTCTTTCCATTTATTCTACTTTTTTAAGAGTAAAGCTAGGTAGGATGACTCCTGCCTTTAGATACTGATGTAGTTTTTGAGAGGTCTAGGCAAGAAGAAACATTTTCTCCAGATTTTATTTTAAGCAGATTGATAGAATCCCATCACAGGAGTAAGCAAAAGAACATGGAAGTAATAACTACATGGCAAGAGGTATGAGTCAAGTAGGAGGAAAAATGCAAAGTCTTCCTAGTGTTATATGATTAATTTTCCAAGGACATAAAAATCCACACTGTCACAGACTACTAATAGAGACAGCTTATTGTTCTTCATGGACTTTTAGCTTGACCTGTTCTTATGTAATTACTTTTATTTTTCATTGCTAAGTCAGGAGACACATTCCTACTTATGTTGCTGTACGGATAATTCATTAAAATCTACCCTGCACAGGTTAACATTAATTTGGAAAAAAAAAGCCTTTGGCCCAATAGTTGCTATTATTTAACTAACCCATGTTAATAGCAGTTAACTAAAGAAGAAATAAATTAAGAAGTACAGGGTAGTGAAACAAGGAAGAAAAAATAAAATATCTGTCAACCAAAAAAAAAAAAAAAGTCCACTCAGTCCTCCAGCCTTTGGGACAGAAGTTTTGACCCAATTTAGTTTAATATAAGCAAGCCCCAAAAGCATAGCCAAAAAAAAAGTACTGGAAAGAAAGAGGGAATTATTACTTCCCACTCCCCTTAAATCCCCAAATAACAGGGTGTAGTCAAAAACTAGAGGTCTCTTAACAGCTTCTCCTGTAACACACATTGTAATCACCAAGACAGCTAGCTGGTTAATAATCTTTTCCCTGTTGAGGTAGAAGATTACAAATGAAGTCATAATTTTCTTTCTCCTTCCTTCTAGTTCCATGTGTTCTGCAGAGTAATGTGATAGTAGGAGAAATACAAGGAAATGGCATAATGGCAATCAGTTCTGCTTTTGACAACAAAATTACTGAAAAATGTATAAAGCTGTTAAATAAACTTGGACCATTAAATAAAAAATTTAGGCTCTTTCTCTGGTCTGAAAAATGACATATTCTAACCTGAACAGACAAAATATTTTTTACAGTACATCATTTCTGATGGAGTTCACATAAAAGAAATAGGTTAGACTGTGAAAGCCTAACCAGTAGTCACAAACATATCTAATTCCCTAAGCTTTTATCATTAATATTTTATCATCCTCACTGATACGCTCAATCTTGAAGAAAAATGTGACACAACTATAGAATTTATCTGTATCAAACAGAAGGTAAAATGCAAAGTACAATAGAGATGTCAAAGCACAGTATTGACTTTGCTCACTGTTAGCTGAAACTGCGTGGAGTGTTTTATTTGAACAGTAGAAACAATATTAGCATATACCAGTATGATGGCATGTCCATTAGAGAAAAATATGATGAATGCTATTTGTAGGAAGGTATTTTTTTATATTCCTTGTATATTGTTGTTCCGTAAAGTAACATCCATTTGCTTTGCTGAAGATTTCTGTAGGAATTATTTCCAGTTTAACCTATCAAGATTTTTGGTTTATCAACATTAGAAAAAATATAAAAAGGAAATTATTCTTTTTCTACATTCACTGATGAATCTCAATAATGCATCAAGGTGCATTTGCTATGGTAAAGACACTTGAGGAGGCCATACCATTTAAATAGTTTGGTAGGTGAATCTGCTTATATTAGCGAAATGGAAAAATACAAGAAGAGAATAACTGTATTGTGATCTCCAGTAACTCTATCAGTTCTGCTGAGGTATAGTAGGAATAACACATTTGCCTATGGTAAAGGGGAAACAATGAATTTACATAGAAAAAAAATATGAACTATATTTCCATGAATACATGTTGGTCATACAAGCCTGACCGTGAATCACCCTTTGATGGTAATGTGAGATTTAAAGACCACTGGAACAATCCTTAAGTGAAGTTCCTTGCTTGTCCTGCCTAGGCTGTGTTTGATTCAGGTCACAAGGACACAAATATATAATTTGCAGACAATTCAGAGCAAACAAAGGTGCAACTACTTATCAGACCAAAATAAGCCCTGAAAATGAGACTGTGCTTTGTGAGACACCTCTCTCTCGCCTGTCACCTACATAGGAGAAAATCAGCTTCATCCTCATCCGTTTTTAGCACAGTATGTTGGTGTGATATGGAGCAGCTCCTGAAAGTCCAAAGACACTAATTCTCCAGGATGCTTATCTGGATATACTGCCCTTGTGACAGCAGCTGACTCTTTATACCTTTTCTGTCTTACTTCATTTCCACAGTAAGATAAAAGTGCTGGTTGGAGGGGTTGTCAATGGAGTTCATTTAGGTCTGTTCCTACTTGGAATTGGGCTATAATCAACACTAGAAGAGTCAGCTGTGGCTTTGTCTAGCCAAGGCTTGAAAATCTCCACAAGCATTCCACAACCTTTCTGGGTAGTCTGCTCCAGTGCTCCACTGCCCTTCAGTAGATTTTTCTTGCCCACATGTCTAATCTGAAACTCTCAGGCTTTAATCTTTAACATTAGTGGAGAACTAAAGCTACCATTGTGTTACCTCTTATTAAATATGGAAAGAAAAAATAATAAAAACACTTACAACATTTCATTTGTGCCACCAGATGCAGGAACTGAAAACTTTCAGTGCAAAGGTATCTCACAACAGCTCATAAGAAAGACATGGAAACTCTCCTAGTAGAATACCTTACTATCTGAAGATCCAAGCCAGAAACTGAAAGAGAAGAAATAAAAATACATTTTTTAAATCTTATCAACTTTATAAGGGACAACTGTAATAACTACTACCATTTTAGTTCAATGGGAAAGATATTCCATTATCTATAATACAATTAAAATTCAAATGGTATTCAGCCTATATTTTGGAATCTGATAATTAACACTCAGTATTACCAATGATCAATTAAACGCACATCCTTATATCACAACATCAACATTAGTTTAAAATTCATATCTGGAAAGAAATAAGAAGTGCAAAGGAAAAGATGGAAGGCAAATCACAGTCAGAAGTGTGCTATACCTTACTCGAATGAATGTAACTGGATGAAAACCTGATTGTAAATCTCCAATGAATCAGTAATGTTTCCATCAAAAGTAAATTAGATTATCCTAATTCTGAAAGCATTATTAAACAACTATAAAAAGGGGAATATGAGAAACATATTTCTTACAGACCTAGCAGTTGTTCTATGACATGTTGAGGGGAGGGGAGGAGCAGGGAGGGACGAGAAGGGAAGGGAAGGGGCATGAACCAAGAGGTTCGTGTTGCTCAGACTCAGCCAGCTCTAGTTACAACTGGGGAAAGGGTCCAGTGTCTTTGAAAAACTGTTAACCTCTTAATCTGGGGCAATGTTACCACACACAATTTCCTACTCATTAACACCACTATATATCTGCTGTTAAAATGAAAGAATGTTTTTCCTATGCTGAAATGAGAAATTATAGTCTAACCTAAAATTATAGTTTTATAACTTCCCAGTGTTGGAACAAATTCAGCATAGGGGTGCAGTACAAAGAGAAATGATTCAGTCTGTCCTTTGCCATTAAATCCGTAGTGATGTTACTTGTTAAAAACAAAATTTGAATTGACAGATAGATTGCTTCTGTGATTCCTCCACATACTGAAGTACCCTTTAGTCTTCAGAACAAAATGAAGTCTGAGCAGACAGCATAAATCCCACTTTAAAAGTAGCAGAGAAAATTGCAAAAAAGGATAAATTATTATATTATTATAGACATATATTTTGGTCAATAGTATATTTGCTTATACTGTGGGGAACTTAATACAGCTATAAAAAGAGAGCTGTTAAATTATAGGCGATAATAATGTTGATAACAATAACAATAATAATACAAAAGAGAGAATGTCAAACTGCCAGCAGAAAAAAAAGTCAGAACATAATTTGGAAAAGCAGAATTCGTTTCTAAATTACATGCATCCTCAGGCTCTTAGCAATGAAAATCATCTCAGCACTAAGGGAGTATGGAGTAAAGATTCTTACAGTGTCAGCTAGTAATAGCCTTATCTTCAGCAGTTTATCACACGGTTGTGCATGTGCATATGAGTTAAAAATGGGGAAAAATATTAAAAAAGGAGAATGTGCAGAAGTCCAACTCTAGTCACTAAAAAATAATTAATGCATAATTTAAAACTGATGTCTGACATTTATATATTGCGTTACTTCCACTATATGACAGCAATATTCTCCTCGGTTAATAGCAGTTCTAGCTCCTGGCACATCTCAGAAAGAAGTGACTTCTTACTGAGGAGTTTCTTCTTCTGATAAAAGGAAAGGAACAACATGAACCAAACTGACCAAAGAGTGGATTGGTCAAAATTATACTACTCCTTTTTTCCCTTTTGGAGAAGACTGAAAGACTATGGAAATTACCACAGATCCACTGAAATCACCTTTATCTGCCATCTCAGGAATTGTTCTTCAGTTTAAGTTTCCCTCCCCCAGATTCATTTTTCATATCAATCAGCAAAGAAAAGGAAGGTAAAGCATAAGTGCTCTTTCTTAAATTCTCACTAGTTACAGATCAAAAACTCATTGATTTTTGTATAAGCTACTGAAAATAGTGACTCAGAATCATTTATGGAAATTATTCTTAAGTGTTTTTTTTTACTATCTTAGATTTTCATACATTGCCTGTCCATAATATATTGTCCCCAGATTCCTTTGCGCTAAGGGCAGTATCTTACAATTGACAGATGTTCTTACAATTGACAGGTGTTCTAGGACTGTGCTGGAAGGGAGTTCACACCAATGTTCTCTATAATCTTTAAAATAATTATCAAGGATATTTTTCTTTTTCAAGTACTCCTATGGATGATAGGCAAGCCTTTCTCTGTGACACATTTTTACAGTGCTTATTCTTTAATACCTTGAAACCTAGCAAGAGCCTTTTATGGCACACATCTCCTTTAGTCATCTGCCAGTAATGAATGTTGGCAGTTGCTCTGAAACCCATTCATTGAACCTGTACCATTTCTAGAGCAAAGCTCTGTTTGATGTGAGGGACACTGTGCCAAGTCAGCCTGTATTTGTACTGTGCAGTCACTGCTCTTGTTTCCCAGTGGGAATCTCCAGGGCTTCCTAAGGATTTAAGAAAAGAAAGCAGAGGATGGAAATGGGCTGTTTTTACATAGATTCATCTCTTTTAGTAAAGGCACTTTCTAAAGTGTAAATTGAAGGAACATTTTCCAGAGGCATCAAGTATAACCGTTAAAGAAATTTATAAATGTATTCCTAAAGATATTAAATTTGCCTAGTGAAATCTATGAATCTATGTAAGTCTAGATAAATAAAATAAAGAAATAAAAGTGTATGTGTGTGTGTGTGTATATATGTATAAAATTCTTTACATTTAGCAGCTGATACCACCTTTGATTGTTTTTCATAGTAATACTGAAATTTTCATGTCTGCTATATGGGCTGCAGTATTTAAAATCTTACCTGAATGGTTTGAAGAACTAATTTAACATGAATTCTAATTGTCCTGGACTTCAAAACTGGTTCATAACATAATTTTAAGAAATATTCTTTTTGCATATCTGAATAAATAAATGCTTGCTAATGCAAGCATGTGGGACTTACCCTTAGAATTTAGTAAGAGGTTCTTAGCAAGTTAAACTTGTAATTTCATAAAACCTTACCTTTATCTTCCATTTTCATTCAAATGTAAGTTCTAACACCCATTTACATTCTTTCTTTTTCCTTTTTAATATTATTCTTTGGTTTTACACAGCCACTGTATGAATTTACACAGCAGAACAAGTGCAGTCAGTGCCTGTCAAAACAGTTTAATTTTTTCAGTCATCTGTACTATTCATTTAGAAAAATGAATTTCTACTAATTGTTATTGCATTATGCATTCAAATATTAAAGAGGATTTTCATATATGTGCTCAAATCAAACCACTCCGTTTTTTTCTCAAATTCAGCAGAAATGCAAACAAGACAATATATTTATCATTCAGAAGGACATAGCACAAAAAACGACTCTTTCTCATTTATTGGGGCAGGAAAGACAATTCCTTCCTGCAGATTGAATATGTTATTCCAGTGCTAATCTTGTGTAAATGTCAGAACTAGTTTCCTAGAAGTGTGGTGTGGGTTTAAGGGTTGTTGAAAATCAGAAAACCCTGCAAACCCAATCTGAACCTCTAAATATTTCCTAAGGACAAACTTCATAAACTTTAAAAAAAAAAATTTAGTTCTCTTTCCTCAAATTCAACTATTAGAGCCAGGTGAGCAGCTATAGTGCTTTGTAGTGCCATAAAGATACACAAGTAAGCTAGTCACTTCATGGCATGTTGTGCTGGGAAAAGGTCTAAATGGCCAATGAAATCATTTAGAAACAGGCCAGTCCAATAGAAAATTTTGTTCTTTTCGCACTTCTTATGAATGTAATGCTTTCCTCAAATTTTAAACCACTACAAAATAGAACTGTGTAAGGTAAAAATATACAAATACTTGACAGTTGCAATTAGTACTTATTAAATAGAAAATGAAATATATTGTAATAAATTTTTGTTATATACTCTAATAAGGGCAAAAGAACAACATAAACTTAGTTCATAGTAATGTGAGGCTATGTGTGTGTAATGGATAAATATGGCATCTAACAATTTTTTTCTTTTATCCCAAACATCTGTATATACAGAAACAGACACAGTAGTAAATATAAAGTTAATGGTGGTAAATTACAGGAATATATTTAGGGTTCTTTTTATTTGACTAACAGTGTGATCACTGTGAGCACTAATAATGATCCATTATGGTTGGGAGCAAAACAGAAACAAAAATAGGAGTTTATAAGTACTGAATCCATGGTAAGCAAAGTGTAAAAAAAAAAAAAAATGCCCTTAACTGCTATCTTACCACTACAAAAAATAAAAACAAATTTGTATCATGCATGAAAGAAATATATACTCTGTATGGTTTTTTTAAAGCATTTAATGTCAGAGTAGACTAGCTGCATATTCTACCCTTAAATAGTTATATACTTTCCCTATTCAACAGTATTACAGCTATCTATTCAAAGTATGATAGTAATTAATTTTAAAAATAATTTAAAATGAAAGAACACATTGAAGGATAATTCAGATGCATATCATCTTATGATATTTAGATACCTTAAGAGAATTACCCTAATGTTAATGAATAGTTGAAATTATTTTTCAGTAAAGTGTGACTGTAAATGAATTGTAATATTTTCACTTTGATACTTAAAGAAAAGCTTTGAGATCAATGGAAGTAATAATAGCTCACATATTTGCATTGACAAAATGTCACTGAAAGTCTTTTATGGAATTATAGCACTTAAATTTCATCTCCCTTGTTTTATAAATTACTTCTATGCTTTATTCTTTATAGTCCTTATACAAATAAAAGTGAAAATAACTTTGTTAGAATAAAGACAAATTAAATTTAGAAGTACCATTGACAGAATAGGAGAATTTTTATACATGTTAGAATTTTAGAGATATTGATATGTTTAAATAGTGACATTATACAAATTATTTAATGTGATACTTTACTTTGTGATGTATTTTTTACATAATTACAATATAGAGTTTAAATAGACCAAAAGCTTTTCAGTAATAATGCATTAAACCTTTGGAAATGAGCTTTTAGAAACTGAAAGTGTTCCTTCAATTTATTGACTTTAATAGATGCTTAGAAATCTATAACCATGTGAGGACATT